AATGTGGACAATGTGTTGGCAAAACCCTCAGCCGTGTCCAGAATGTCCAGCTTATAGCCAAACAGGAGGTCCCGAACCGTCGTATTGACAAATAATGACTGTTTGTGATCGTCGAGGAATGAGTTGACGGCCCGGTATGGCAGTGAGTCAAAGAGGGGCGGGAGGGGTAGACCGTCCACCAGTTTCGGTATGATTGAGCCCAATGCCTGCAATACATGTTATTATTGATTATTTGTCTCTAAGATATGGCTATCATATGGTGTGTATGACTAATGCCTTACAGCGAAGGGTGCGTTAATGACAGTGATGTTGTCGTCGAGGGAACCGGTAGTCTTGAGCGGATCGAACACGTAATACCGGCGCTCATAGAAACTCACGGTTTCCATGTTGTCCGAGAAGCCGATGATTTGCCGCTCGTAGTGTTGCCTATAGTATCAGTCAATACGAGTGTGAAATTAGTTATTTAGTTATTTCATAATCTCTTTGCAGTAAAATAACGTGTCATCACAAGTGCCTCTACATTGACAGCACCGGTAGATAACGAGTAAATGCCATGGGATTCAAATTTATGAGAGGGAGATATGCCTTGATATAGCTATGGCTAGACAGCAGAGAGAGAGAGAGAGAGAGAGAGAGAGAGAGAGAGACGAAAGTGATAGCATATGGCGAGAGAAGCTACGAGAGAGTCATAGAAGAGACATATGGAAAGGTTAAAGCGAGATAACGAAGGGAGAGCTATGGGCGTAAAAAATAGGTGTTTAAAGGGATATAGAGAGGGGGAGGGGGTGTAGGATAGAGATTGGTGTTAAGGTTATGGGATATAAACATATTGAGACAGTAGTGTCAAGTCATGGCCTCGTAATGAGTGTGGCGGTGGGTGTGGGGGAGTGTGAACATGGTTGTATTTGATGGTTTGAACTCACTTGAACATATATTTGCCCATTTCCCTGACTTTGATGGTTTTGCCCCCGTTTTGGACATCGTATGGGTTGAGTACGTGGAAGAAGTAAATGCCGACTTCGGTGGGAACGGAAGGGTTGGCCCAGAACTTGAAGAACTCGGAGTCCTTGTGGAGGTTCATCCGCGACTGAATCACGGCTTTGAGCACCGGTTTGAACGATAGATAGGCGCCGATGGAGAGCAGCGCCAGAATCAGACCGACGGCACCGGCGATGAACTTCTTGTTTGTCAGACATTTTCGCAATTTTTTGCCATTTATTGAACTAAACGTCGGTTTCATTGCAAACACTATTAATGTTATAAAACACTGAATTGACTTCAATTGCATCTCGCAATCAATCGCTTGTTTAGTCACTACTTTTTGTGTCCTTTTTTGTATTTAAAGTCTTATTAAATATTATTATTATTTAATGATTACAAAAGTGAGACAAACTTTTTTGTTATCACAAATCAAATACTTATTTAACGCACAAAAAACAAACTTAAAAACTGTATATATTTTTTGATACGATTTTGAACTTTAAAATTGAAATTTCAAAAACTTTTATATAATAATTGTGTATAAAATATAAAATATTTCAAATCAATACTAGATTTGAAGCTAAATATTAAATAAGTTTAAAAATTGTACGAAAATTATATAACGAAGAGATATAGAGACGAGAAAATTGTGGCTTAAATTCAATGACAATAGAAAAATATATTAATATTGAAAACTATTCAATAGATTATTAAAATATATATTAATATTAATTACAATTAAATGATATAATAATAGACTTGAGACGAGTTCTGATCAACATTTTCAATGAACACCACATGTGTGGACACGGGTTGCGACCAAACCAGACATTATGGGAGACAAGAGTGAAGATTGCGACCAAATATTTCAAATATTTCGTGAGTCCGACAAATATATACTGTTTGGTCGACTCAAGTGTTAGTCGGTATTGAAAACACGCGATTCGTTGTAAACACAAACAAATTACTAATAAATAACTGATTTGAATGTATAATCAGTTCAAACCGATAGACAACACAAACTGAACACACATTTAGTCCACGGGTTTTATCTATGAATGTGTGCTTTAATTGCTTTATCGCAATACTGTATTAAACGCTTATATATGACATATCTATGATTAACAGTATATATACGTTGAAGCGTACGATATATACGTATAAATAGTTAGTGTAGTAATCGGTGTACTATTCATAACATCCATTCAGAGAGCCGATAGACTGATCGTACGATCGGTTGAGTCATTAGTGCGCAAACGCACAGCACTTACACACAGAGTCACACCAGACCGACGTCACGACACAGACTACACCCACTTTAGTGCACACCAGTTGTCGCGTAAACCATACCATAAGCCGGTCATAAGCAACACATAGTGTATAACACTGTAAACGTGTAGTATTTTTATCCCAATAACTCTTATCCCGAAAAACAAGTTTCTGTGAAGTATTGTAATAAAAGTGAAACTTTTTTCTTATTATTTGTCTTTAAACTCCATTACAGCGAAAATAGTTTGAGTTTTTTCCCTAACATTGTATTCGTAATAAACAACTATTTTTTGTAACTATTTTAGAACCGTTCGCATATAGTGTTACGCATTTTGTGAGCGGGAGGGCTGTTATATCACAGAATAGCACAATAATGTATGCATATTTCATATTGGTGGTTAGATTGTGCATAACTCGACTAGACTTTAGATATAGGGTGTGGTTATGCAATAGTTAATACAATAGTTAATTTATGACCGATCGTACTAAACTTATCTAGCTTGTCATTAAATTGGTGCAATATATAGTACAAATTTCAAATTATAAACTAGTACAAATAGCTCACTTAAATACTATAACTTATGATATTGATTGAAATGATTGGTGCGGGTAAAGGGTTCGGGGGGTTAGAGGGTATGGAAATTTGTATTACATAATACACTATATATGTGGACAATGAGAATATCAGTTCATTACACGTCACACGAAGTCATTGCTACAGAACGGGGAAAGACCTGCAGTAGTGTTGGGACGAGTGGTGGCAGCGGTTGCGAGAGAGAGGCTGTCAGGCATTACATACGTTATGTGCAATACATTACATACTATTCTGTACTAACGAACTAACCATTCGATACCCTTTGCATTGAACCCAATGGTAGAGAACTTTGTCCGCACTGTTAGTACCCATTAGTATACAAGGATTGGTTGTATACAAGTATAGAGAATAACGTACATGTTTATGATATATTCTACAATAATGATCATGATTGTACTTTTTCATCAACAATTATATCGCATGATTTTCCCCCTTTTGTATCGCTTTTCCCCACACTATACGTGACGCCAGATATTTATTTACAGATTAATTGATTGATTCATTAAATTTTAGTTTTTATACAAATCGTAAGATACATTTACGTTAATAAAAACTATAAATTAATTTGTTGTCAAACATCAACATGATAAACAGAATAATTAAATGTAATTAAAATTTCATTACTTCTTATAATAATACGTGTTTCGCATGTTTTGCATAATACTGTTTGACATACAGTGTATGTAGTGTTAGAGAATCCATGAATATTTAGAAAATAATCTCATCTATTAATTGATTAATGCATACATTTCCTGAATTGCAAAATATTTCTCTCAATTAAATTATAAAATATAATATAAAAAGTTACAGACGTTTGTGTTTTTGTTGTGTTTGTCGTCAATAAATTAATTTTCAGCACTTTCTATGACTTTCCTTTCGGTTTGATATTCAAAAGCCCAGACACTTATTGAGCCGATTCTTATCACTTTCATTATAACCTCAAATTATTAATCTGTTTATTAGTATCAATACATTGATATTTAATGATAATATTTTTATTTATGTAAATCTATTCAATCACACAAACAGTTATTGGCTGTTAATGTATGTAAAATAGATAATACATACTTAATGCACAGTATATAAATTTAATTGATGTTGAATGAGATAGCCTTATTTTAGATCCTTGTGTTTCGTAAATATCCAGGATCAAAAATGTTATTTTAAAAAGTTTATGTTTTATACACAATGAAACTAAAATTTAAAACATGTCAAACATATAGATATGTGCTATAAATTAATTTTATTTTTATATTCCTGTAACCCATTTCCACCACAATTTGATCATGATAGTATTTTAATTGTTTATGATTTGTTTATTTAATTGATTTTTAAAAATAAATGAACAAATTAGACATGATAGATTTTAGATCATAGTCAATGTACAGAATAAATCATTTTAATTCAATAAAATTAATATCTAAAGGACATTACTATTGGAAAACATATAACGATTTTGTTAACTAAATTCCGATGAAAGTCAACGATAATTGGTGTCGGCTTTTAAATGAATGAATTTTTTGCAAATGCTCTCAAAAATAGCGGATAAGATTCGTGGAAATGCTTACAAAACATATTTCAATAAATTAAATGACATTAAAATCACTGAAATAATGAAAAAATAATTTAATTGAAATACAAATTCATACAAAATATTTGTACGGGTGGTCTACCGTTCAATCACTACCAATACTCTACACAAGTTTACACAATATAATTAATTACTAAGAATTTTATAAATATAAACTCATTAAATTGCTTGTTAACAAACATTTATTTAGGAATGCTAAATTAGGATATTATTAATTTAACTAGTTATAACTAGTTGTACATAAAAATTTTTAACAAAATTAAATGTTTAGAATTTTTTCATAAACATTGAAATGTAGACGATATGTTCACAGTATATATGCATATCATATCGTCTATGTCTGATATTAGAGTCTTTAATATACAGACAATTTAAATTCAATTAATTTAAATTAACTGTTATTGAAGACTAAAATAACATGTTTATCAAAACTTATATAAAATTTAATAATATATTTTCTAAACTTCTTTCGTACAGTATTTGTTGAAATGTATTTAATAATTAATTCAAATCACTTTTCATTGTTATTACAGACAAATGTATAAAATTTCAGTTAAATGATATTATGTAAATAATTATTGGATAATTAAATCCAATGTAATATAATTTAATATTCAGTGTATTTAAAGACTTGAAAATTGTTATTAAGATCGTTTGGTTGATTATATTTCACACTATATTGAATATCATGTGCATTTTGGGTTTTTTAAACAAACTTATGAAATTCAGTGTTAGTTTTAAGCAATAAAAACATTTTTCATTTGTAAATAAGATTTTGAATTTAACAGAAAGCAATGAATTCAACACTTATAGTGTTTACGGGATTAATGTTAAACGAAATCTATAAACACTATAAATACTTATTTATTAAGTTATAATATTTTGTTTTTTAATTCAAAAAACTTTTTTGTTAACGCTTTATAATCGCGAGTTAAGAGAGCAATAAAAACTTGTCATATCTTATCGTTAACTAAACTAATCGTTAATTTTGTCGTTAACTTAATTTTTCAAAAAATGTTTTTAATAATAAATTCATTAAAAGAGGAATATTTTTACATTAATAATATTAACCATATATTCCGTGGTTTTCAAAATAAATAAACATATTTTTATAAAAAATAATTCAATGAATAAATTGAAATTAATTGTATTAGAGACCAAACACCATATATACCCTATAACTATACCATTTCTATCAGATTATGCCTTCACCACCAGTGATGGTTATGGCGATTGTTGGCACCGTTGCCACCGGTGGTGGTGGGCGTGGGCTGACTCGCCGTTAGGTCAGGCGACGGAGAACCGCCAGACTTTGGGGGACTCTGATCGCCATTGGTTAGGCCATTGCCGGCATTTAGCATAATGTGATGTTGAATGGGATGATGTGGGAGCAAATATTTTTGTCCGTCATCTGCCGTATGCCCAATGACTTCCTGACCGTCCAGTCCTCCAATCCCTTCCCCATCGCTGTTAGTGACACATGTATTAACTACATAGCGATGTTGAGTAGAAAAAGGTATGAGTGGTGGGGGCGGCGGTCCCTCCACCGGACTTACGCCCGACGGCGGGCTATAGTATTGGCCGTTATAACCGTTGATCGACGGGTAACGGCCGGAACTGCTAAAACTGTTGGTGTTATGATGATGTGAGTGATGGTAAGACTCGTGATGATGGTTGTGATGGTGATTGTGGTGATGGTTGTGATAATAACTTCGCAAAGATTCAGCAAATTGTCTGTACGATGGAGTGGTATATAGGGAGGGGTCGATCGGACCGTCATTTGCTGTTTAAATAAAACAAAATATTTACATAATTTATAATTTTATATTAAAAATCGAAAAAAGATGAGAGAATTTAAAGAGATTGTCATTAAATTGGTTTACGTGTAGACAACGGAGGATAGTGTGGCTGATATACGAGTGAGCGTTGATTAGGCGATACGGGCCGACCCATCATGTCTTCGGTGTCGTTCAACTGTCCCATCACTACCCCATTAGGTGTCTGTCCGTAGTGACCAAATGGCGAAGTGGGCAGTAGTTTAATAGTCCGTCGCCTACGCGTGCGAATGGATTCCTTGCGCATAGCGGCCGGTCTATTGACACCATTGAGCCGATAGTAAAGACCGCAGGCGTTGCACACGGAGTCGCCGACGGCGTTGCGGCGCCACATGGATGTGGTCTTTGTGCCGCAGTTGGCACACGTCAGGCCCACACGTCGGGTAGTGCTCGACAGTCGGCGCACATTGCGAACCAGTGGCCGATGAGCGCCGTTCACGCGCTGATAGAGACCGCAGGCGTTGCACAGGAATTGGTCGGCACCGAACCGGCGCCACAACGGAGTGCACGTCGTGTGACAGTTATAGCACTCTCTGTGTTCCATAGACTCGCCATCCATTGCCATCGAAGCACCCGATCCGGAGCCCAATCCCATCGGTGACTGATTGTTCATATGATGATTGTTCGGGTGACCAGTCATTGATAAAGGAGGCGGTGGCGGAGGTGGCGGTGACTGATGGTTGTGGACAGTGATCGGTATCGGACCCGGAGAATGGATTTCCATTTTGTGCATTACTTTTCCAGTTTTTAGTACAGTATTTTATGAATGAAAACTTTCAAAACTTTTTTAGGCAAACTTTAATTGGTAAAACTTACACCAATTTTATTGAACACTATTTAGCAATTAATCAAAATAAATATTGTGATTAACTAATCGTTTGTTGTTATAAATTAGTTATAGTATTAGTTAACACAACCGATCAATCAATGAGAATAGGTATGCAATGAGACGGGAGGACAGGTAGGAGCTAATGAATATGTCTTACATATCACAAAGTTTTGCAATAAAAGACTTTTGTTCATCGGTTTTAATGGTTTTATATAAATATTTGAAACAAAAGCCAAATTTTTGAGTGAAATATTATAAAACAAATCAATGGTTATTGTGTAGTGCCGTATGACTAGACAGTCCTCCCGTCACCCATCCTATAATGGACAGCACATCGCCATTAGGGTTGTCCGTCGCAGTCATAAAGGTGTTGCCAATCAGTGGTGACAAAGTCTTTAGTTTACCTTATGATGGAGTGACAAAATACTATTTTATATATGCAACGGGATATCAGGGGGAACAGGGTCAAAATAAACTTACCACAGATATATTACACACCTTACTCTCGCCTACCAGCCATTAATTTATAATAAATTTAGCAAAAAGTAATTCAATTCAAATAAAATTATTTTTGATAAGTAGTAAAAACTTTTGTGATACAGAATATGCCAGTGGTGTGCATAATACAATATACCTGTCCAGCCGTCCCCCGGCTCCTAATACTCTCCTAATTGATGCCTAATTTTTGTTATCGCCTCAAATCGATAGCAGAGTTTTGAAGATCATTGAGATATACCATTGAATTAAAGGTATAATAAAATAATGTGCGGAAATCACCGGCTTTGGGGTATTGCACGGTATAAACACACCTCACTATTATGTAAATGTTATGTCTATTAGGAGAGACACATAGAGGTCTGGCCAACCAATAAAGATCCTAAGAGGTGGGCGCGAAGCACATGTATGTATTGTGCATATGATTTAATTAAGAAATACGTACTTTTCAACCGATGATAATAAGAGATACATTTATAATGAAATAAAAATTTGTATTTTATTTTATATTTATTTATTTTTACATCGATTTCATTGTGAATATGTTTTCATTAAAAGGAAGAGACGGTTCGTTTGTAAGCAATATTACCTTAAAAACTAATATTTTTCCAAATAAAATATAAAACCACACGAAATAAGTTTTAATTTATTAATATCATAATAAGGTGTGCCTTATATAGTAATTGACAAAGTTACTTTATATAGGTATAAAAATATTGGTTTGCATTTTAAAGCTCAACCTATTCATTCAATTTATTTCTTATAAAATTGTTTTTTATATCACAAACTCTCTCTCTCTCTCTCTCTCTCTCTCTCTCTCTCTCTCTCTTTAAAAATTTTAGGTTTAAAAATTTTAGGTTTAGAACAATTGTAAATTTTCAAAACAAATTCAAATAGTTTTAACCTGAAAATATCCTGGACGTTAAGACTATAATGTATTTTATTCTACCGCCGTTTTTATAATGTATCTTTTTTTGCAATTGTTAGTCTATTTATGAGTAGAAAAAGGTTTTTATTAATAGGTTTTAGGGATAGAAATATTTTCAGTAAATGAATACCAAATACACCAAAAAACCAATTTTAAAAGCAAGAATTTTTATGAAACAGAATATTTTGAACAGAATTTTTGCTATGTTTTTGATTTAATGTTTCCAATCATTCGTTAAAATAATAAAATCCAAAAAATCCATGAAAAGCTAAAAATTCAGTTCCGTTTCGTTTGTTTGTATGTACTTTATATGGCATATAATGTGTGCCATAAAAAGCGGTATAAAATAATGTTTTGGCTTTAATTTCCACAAAACATTTCTCGTCTCTCAATTAAAATCACATAAAATATCCGAAAAACAACTTTGGGATAGACCTTAAAGTATTTTCTTAGTTTGTCTACCAGTCGTTTAGGAGAGAGAGAGAGAGAGAGAGAGAGAGAGAGAGATTTGGAAGTTATTGTTTACATCCGTTTATATGAATGAATTAGAAATGCGAGTCCTCTCTGACCCCACAATAGAGACGATAACTTAGATTATGTGATAACTGGACAGGAATTTAATAGCTTATCGCATTCAACACATACTTTCCCTCTTAAGCCTTAGTTTGTTATTTTATTTAATTATCATTTTTCATTCAATATTATGTTGTGTTAAAGTGTGTGCTATAAGAAGAGGGAGTGAGAAATGAGAGAGAGAGAGAGAGAGAGAGAGAGAGA